CCAGCTGGTCCTTCTTGTAGGCGGCTGAGTCCCAATCATTATCGTCGTCGGCTTGGTCGCGTTTTTTGGCGCGCTTAGCTTGAATTTGGGTCTTTTTTTGCTTGACGCTGAAGGGTTTTTTCCTGTGAATAGCCATTTTAAAAAAATTAGTTGGTTGGTTAAGTAATTTAAATAATGTGAATTGAAAAAGAGAAGTGCAGCGAGTTAAGTTTGCGTAGAAATTCAAAGAACAAAAAATAGTGCGACAGGCGAGAGCGCCGTCAGCTGATATTTTGAAAAAGGGTTAGGGCTTGATTTGCAACTGGTGATTTGTTGATTACTTGATTGCGGGATCCTCCACATGACGTGCCTCTTTATTAGCTCACGTGGTTGTGGTCAAGTGATAGGTTTCATAACTTTGTTGATGCGCGTATACTGGAGAGGCAATTTGAAAAATTGAAATGGGCGTGCACATGGGCAAGTCTGATATTGTTTGCTTTTTTCGACTGTGTTAAAGATTTAATCAATGATTAGCAAGGAAAAATGAAAAAAGGTTGATCACTGCAGGCTGCATTTCCGAATCACACGGGGCTGGTGTGGTGTGGTGTGGTGTGGTGTGGTGTGGTGTGGTGGTAGCGAAAACAATGTCCAAAAAAAACTTTTTAATAAACATTTTAGGACATGTGTATTTGGAATTGTGTGTTTATCATTATGTTACAATACCATGTTAAACTCATGATGGTATTATATGTGGTGGGAATATATTTAATGGAATTAATAAATTACTGTATTATTATATTATTGCTTCTGCGCAGCAAAGCAGAAGCAAGTCCGCATTGGGCTTGCGATATATGCACTATACCCGAGTTGATGTTTTTTATAATTGCGCAGTACTGCTCAGAGCGCTGACAATGATGCCTTTATTGTTTTTTTCGGGGTCCTTTTTTATTTTTATTACATTGTTCAATTGCGCAGCCAAACTAATTACTAATATTATCTCTTCCTGCAGACGGACCAAACAGAAAGAAAAAAGAAAAAGCAGCTGATAAACAATGCTGAGCTGAAAAGTAGATATGGTGGATTGCGCACTTCTCTCTCTCATTCTGCCAAAGTCGAAATGGAAAAACGTGACCAGCATCTTTGCTGGCCCTACCCAATATTCTATTGATAGTGGAAAGAGATGGTCTCACTCGATCACGCGCACACACGCAGTTTTGTTTATATATTTTTATTCTTGTGCGCGGTTCATTTACGGAAAAAGAAAAGGTGACTCATTATTTTCCTTTTCCGTCATCAAGATAGTCCTTTGCTTGCCATAATAAAAAAGAAAGCAGATTATTAATAGAAACGTGTTCATTTCGCGTGCCAAACCAAAAAAAACCGCAGGGTGATGATGCAAGTAGAACAAAAAAAACACCGCTGCTGCTCGGGCTTCCGTTTTTTTTTGCATCACCAGAGCAAAATAGATGACAATAATATGTTAATTCCAGAAGAACCATCTAAAAACGCGTCATTTTCAATACACTCAATTTCAACAAAAAAAATGACATCTCACTCCGCAGTTCTTTTTTCTTTAGCGTTCACAGCCCCATCTTTGACTGCGCAAAATAAAAAAGATAGAAAAGGATTTTGTTTTTGGCTTACATGATTTGTGTGGTGTGGGCTAGATTGATTGGTTCGCAAAAAAAGGCCAAGAGATGTGCGGAGAGCACAGATAAAAAAGAGGTTGTGGTCAATCCCCAAAGCCCAATATCTTTACATTCCACCATTTCCCTCGGTCAGGCAGGCAGTCAGTCAGTCAGTCAGTTGGTCAGGCAGACAGTCAAACAGGTGGTGGAACTTTGTGGCCATCGCAACGAAATAAATAATAAAAACCTCCGCTGCCTGCTTGCTTGCTGCGGCGTGAAAGTCTTGTTTGTATCCTTTTCGACTGCTGTCTTTTTCGTTGCTTTTTGTTGAATTCCGCTTAAAAGTCTCGTTTTTGCTCAAGATGAAAAGCGGAGCTCTCTCAAGCAGGGTATGCGGCCCAGCAGTACATGGTGGGGTGATTGATTCGCTTCACCTTTGGCAGAGGAGCGCATAGTTGGAGAGGCTTTGCTTGGCATTGTCTAGCTGAAAGTCCCAAAAGGCCGAAATGCCGAAAGGCTTGAATGATTCAAAAGGCTATATAAAGACGAAGTGGTTATATACTCCTCTATATTTTACTACTCGTCTTCTTTCAATAAACGCTTCGAAACTTCACCATTTCACTTCGCTTCACACCCGTACCACATCCAATCCAATCTAATCCAGCCACCAAAACCAATAGAGCATAGAGCTCCCATTCAACCAACCAACCGGCTGACCAACCAAAGCAAAGTAAGCATAGAACGGTGTTTCTGCGGCTGCGGCTGCGGCTGCTGCAAAATAACACAGTCAGGCAAACATCAACACAGACATCAATGCCTTTTTTTATTATTTTACTGGCCGGCTGACAACCCGCCCCCCTCTACCCCCTCCCCCCCCCATCCCATCCTCGCATCCTTTCTTTTATTTTTATTTATTTTGGTCCTTCTCTATTCCCCCTCTCCACGTTAATTTCTTACCTGATTGCCGCCTGCCTTTCTGCCTGCTTTTCCGATTTAAAAAGCACTTTGACGTACAGTTTTTGCTTTTTGTTTCAACTGAGACTAAATTTTGCTATTAATTCGATTTTTTTTAAAGTTTTACCCTAGAACAATAGCGAAAAGGCATTCTCTCTCTATTCTTAACCCAAACCACCAGACAAATCCGTCAACCCAAACAAATTTAACAGAAAAAAGGGTTCTCTTATTAATTACTTTTGCACTATTTATTTTTCTTAATTTGCCGTTTGCTAAAGCTGTGTTAACAAATAGCTAATGGCATCTTACTCTCAGCGTCCGATTGAACCCAACACCCGTCTACACCACCGGGAAGCCGCCAGCTTGGTGCCCAGCTCTGACTCGGGCACTGCGTACGGCAGCAACCCGGCGCTGCATGTAGACGGGTGGCACCATCAACAACCGCAAAACCCCCATAACAACGCGTTCATGGCCGTCGCTCTCGGCACAGCTCCCAAGCCCAGCAATAGCAGCAGCAGCGGAATGAAGCGCACACGTGAGTCCGTCGACCATCACCCTCGCTCCAATAAGCGTAGCTTTGACCAGGTCGCAGCAACAACCCAGCATGGCAACAGCAGCGGCGGCGGTGGCGTGCGCATCACAGATTTGCTCAACCCTGCTGTGGTTCCAGCAATAGCCGCGGCCCACAGAATGACTCTGCCATCGGCACTGTCGCGCACACAGAGCGACGATGCCAAGTATGCGCATCAGCAGGTCGCTGCTGTGATTCAGGGAGCGAAGCAGCCGGGGGAGCCTGTGAGGGGCTTTGTTCGCACCGCAACGGCGCCGTCAATTATGGCTGCCGCTGACCCATCATGCGCACAGGGCCTTGTGCGCGAAGCCCTTGAACTCGACAAGCTCTATGGTAAGTGCCTTTTTTTGTTTAGCTTGACTTTGTTTTCTAGTCCTTTTGTTTCTCTTTTTGGGGGGTTTGTTTTTCCCCTCCTGCCTGCCTGTTTTCTGCCTGTTTTTCCTTTTCAATTCTTGTTGATGCGGTCTTTTTCATCCTTCTTTCCTCCTCTCCCCACTCTGCCACTTCACCAAGAGACACTCTTGGGAAAGTAAAGCACCATTAAAGAGAGAAAACAAACGACAGCGGCAAAAAAAAGTGGCTTAATTTCTGCTCTTCACGTGATGCGGAACAAATATTTTCCTCCTTTTTCTTTTTTCTTTATTTCAAGCGCATAGCAGGACGCAAGCTGTGCACCACAACCCGAACAAGAGCAGAAACAAAGCGAAGCAAAAGGCGCTTTGGTCATTTTCGCCCTTGCTGTCATTATCGCGCCACCACTCAGCCATCAGCTTTATAAAGTGTCTGCCACAAACTGCGGCTGCGGCTGTGCTGGTGCTGTGCTTGGCTTGGCTGCGCCTGGCTTTTGCTTGGCTTTTGCTTGACTGCGGTTGTGATTTTCTGCTTGGCTCGGCAACAATAAAATTTTTTTCTCCCCCCCTCCCCAATGCATGGCATGTACCGCATGTATGCATGCATGTCGAGCGTATTTGTGTGTGTGTTCGCATTTATTTAATCATTTTTATTTGATTTTGTTGGCTGATTTTTTTGTACTTTTCTACCCACCATTTTTTTGAACAATGACTAACTACTACCAACAACCCATGTCAATGCCTACGCTAACTATCTATTGGTTTTAATTAGATATCGCATGCGTGATCATCGAGAGCATTTGGCCCAACCACTCGACCTCACAGCGCACGCAGCTCTGCTCTCTGCGGTGCTTTGTGGCCGAGACTCACCGCCAGTCTCGGTTGGGCATTGACGTGCTGGAGCTGTGCATGTTTTACCTCTTGCGCGCCAAATCCATCATCCAGGCGAAGCAGCGCGCCGCAGCCCAGCACAAGGAAGACCAGAAGGAAGGGCAGCTGAAGGAAAACCACCAACAGATGATGGTGGTGACCCAGCAACAACAGCAGCAGCAAGCTCAGCTGGAGCACTCTGCCACACCTCCTCTGTCGCCCGACAACCAGTACATTGCCAACAACAGCAACGGTACCACTGCTACCACCACCTCTGTTGCAAGAGCCAAGGTTCACTCTGATATGGGGAGGGGCAGTCCGATCACGCCGGCGTCAGCGGGGTCTGTCGGACAGCAGATCCTCTATGTTGAGGGAGACCGACAGCAGATGCTGCGCAGCGGGCTTATCACATCCTTTGTACCCGCAGACCCCACCACGGGAAACAAGCATCAGGATACCGCAACGCAGCACCGACCGCTAGCTGGCATGTCCTCAGCACTGCCAAACTCATTCCGTTCGTTTGTCTGCAAGACCAACAGCGCCAATGTCCAGCTGCCCTCACCGCACCAGCAGGAGGAGCAGGCCCAGGATTGGCAGCAAAAGCCGCAGGAGACACCCAAAGCACCAGCCAAGCCCGACGTCACCAAATGCGGCCGGCGCATGTTTGTCGCGGCCATCATCAGCGCATCCAAGTTCATCTACGACCAGACCTACTCGAACCGTGCATGGCATAAGATCACCAAACTGCCGTTGACCCAGATCAGCGATATGGAGAGGGCATTTTTGGATATGATTGACTACCGCCTGTATGTGGATCGCACGACTTATGATAAGTTTCATCGTTTGCTTGCGCGCTCTGGTATGCGCAATGGGAGGCTGATGGTCTGTGATCCGGCATACCCGATGCCTACTTCGCCAACGTCATCGGCATCAGTGCCGGCGGCTGGGGAGTCTGCGTCACCATGGATGATGCCTACTGCTCAGCAGTCTGCGGACAATACAGAGTTTGCACAACAGCAACAGCAACAGCAACATCATCAGCAGAAGCATAATGTGATGGCCGCTAATAATGCCCCTCCTGCACAGGTTCCATTTACTCCTACGTCGGCGATGGACCTGCGCACAGCTATGAGCGTCCCCTTGTCGATTACTAGCACCCCGGTGATTCAGAGAGCTCCTCCTAATAAGCTTGTGCCCTTGGGTATGGCCGAAGCTGCTGTGCAGATGCAGGAACAGGTCATTGGTATGTTGAGAACTCAGCAGCAGCGCCAGCAGCACCACAACTACCATAACCAAACTAACAATTATCAGCAACAGCAGATGAACTATCACCAGCAACAGCAACAGCAACAACTTTAGCTCTTTTAATTGCAAACTTGTCAATGAGTATTTGAGCTTTTCCTTTTTTTTACCTTTAATCTTTCCCTTTTTTTTCTTTCTTTTTTTCTCATAGCTTTTTTTACTCTGAAATATCTTTTTTTTTGTATGGTTCAATGTGTTTAATTCTGGGGGGAGGAACGTTCTGTTGAACGTATATTAGAGAGAGAGTGTGTGTGTATATTATATATGAACGTGCATTAAATAGACAAATATTGAAAGAAATAAGTGGCTCAACAACACAATTGTATATTTTGTATTGGCTTTAAGTAGTGCGTTTTTGGATAAATAACCAAAAGCTCGGTTAATCAGTTGATCGCGATCAACCAATATAAAAAAAGGTATTATTTCTTGCTTGTTTGTTTGCAATACTAATTTTCTTTAATGAAAACCCAAAATGCAAAAATGCAAAAAGTAAAAAATACATATATTTGAATATTAATATCAATTACAATGAATTGTTAAAAAGAAAAACAAAACCTGTTTTATTACTATTATTATTATTATTATTATTTATTTCTTGGTCACACCCCATACACGCTCGATCCATGACTTTAGATCGAGTTTTTTCGCAGCAGCTTTTACAATAAACGGATGCGACAGTAGCTGACTCGGTGTTGGTCTCCGACTGGGCTCCTTAATAAGACAGCGTTTGACAAAATCACAGCACTCCTCCGAAAACCTCAATGGTTCCATCTCAGGCACCGGCATATGAATAATATACTCGAGCAGTTCAATAACCGACAACTGCGGGTGACCAGGCGGCGGAAACGGAAACTGGTTCTGCGAAACCTCAATCAAGGTCAATCCCAAAGACCAAACATCAGACTGTACCGCATACCGATCTCCCTGGATCCTCTCGGGCGCCATATAATAACTAGTCCCGACAAAAGTCTGCGCAATCGAATCCACGAGCTCCCCGGAAACTCCAAAATCACATAGTTTGATTTCGCCACGACCCGTCACCAGGATATTCGACGGCTTAACATCCCGGTGAATAACCTGCCAAGAATGCAAATGCACCAGTCCGTTAAGTACCGCCACGGCAACTTTGCCCAAAACTCCCTCACCAATCTGCCCACGTAACTTGGCCACCCTCTGATAAACCGACTCTAAACTCCCACCCTCACAATACTCCATACAAATAGCTATCGACTGACCATCATCGTCAACCGACCGATACGCGCCGTAGAACTTGACCACATAGGGAGACTGGCATTGTTTAAGAAGCCGCAATTCACGGAGTATCTGCTTATGATGGGTTTCGTCTGGATAAACGGTGATAAGCTTGCGCGCCATGATTTTACTCAAAGGTAAGTACTCCACTTTATGTACGGTGCCGACGGAGCCTTCTCCGAGCTTACGCATAACCTTGATGTTCTCATCCGCCAATGCATACTCCTCCTCCTCATTCACCAACGATGTCGAAGTGTCGTCTAAAACGCTGGTGATGGTTGGTGTTCGTCCGGACAAAGACAGCTGGGTTAGTTGGCCTGCAATATCACCAACTGATGGTTGCGAAATAGCACTGCCAGTCAAAAGAGTCAAACCAGCAGCAGCTGCCTGCGGTGCTGGTGCTGGTGCTGGTGCCAGTGCTGGTGCCAGTGCCGGTGCCAGTGCCGGTGTTCCCACTGGCGGTAGTCTACCACCAGTGAAAACACCAGTGCTGCCGGTGCGGTTGGTTATAATGGAGAGTCCCAAATGAGTTTCACGCGATTGCTGTCGTGCCGCTAGGTCGCCGCCATTTGTCAAGGGTAGATTGTTTGTTTGTATTTGCGGAATTATTATACTCGGCTGCTGCTGCTGTTGTTGTTGACGTGGGATTTGAAGAAGCAAAGGAGGCTGGCCGCGTGGGGTAGTTGGTGTGTAGAGTCGCGGAATTAGTGGGCGTTGGGTTGTTCGATTGGATGTGGCATTCGAACGATTGAGCGAAGAAGTCATTTTTGGAAAAATGAATTAAAAAGCTGAAAGTTAAAGAGAAGAGAAGAGAAATTGAAATTAGCAAACAAACAAAAGAAGAAAAGGAAGAAAAGGAAGAAAAGGAAGAAGAAAAAGAAGAAGAAAAAAAAAAGAAAGATGAGGAATGGTCAAAAAAAATATTGTATATTTTTTATGTGTATTTATGTTTTTTCTACAATTAGCAAATAATGCATCCGCTGTCAGTTGCTTTTTCATCTCTCCGGCGCTGCTGGTGCTGGTGCTGGTGCTGGTGCTGGTGCTGGTGCTGGTGCTGCTGCGCCCTTGGCTGCTGCTGCTGCTGCTGGCGCTGACGCTGCTGCTCCCCACCCCTTGCATTTTTTCTTCCAACAGTCGCCGGCTCATGTGGCAAAAAAGCATCCGCCATTCTTCTTTCAAAACTCTCCTCTGACCGGGACCTCCCCATCGGCCTCCTCCCCCCCTCAGCAGCAGCAGCAGCAGCAGCAGCCTTTGTCACTTCAGGCACAGCATAAAGCTTACTCCTACGCCCAACATTCATTCCAGGTGGCATTCTGTCCTGCTGGCGTACCTGCAACTGCCTCTTCCGCCTCAGGTCCTCCTCCTCTTGTTGCTGGCGCTCAAGCTCAAGTGCAAAGGCATAGTCGTCGTCGACATTGGCTGCGTCCTCCTTCACCTCCTCGCGCGCATAGTCGGCATCCTTGCCCTTGCCGCCGCCACGGGGATCAATCGGGCAGAACGCCGCATCGAAAAACGCGCTGCCGCTCTGGTGCACATCAGCCAACGACTCCCACACAACCCTAGTGTCGGCAGCCACAGCCTCATCTGTACACAGCATAAAAAGCCCCTGCTGGCTCGGCCTAAACAAAGTAGAGAAATGGTTATTGCGGAAAAACACTGCCAGGCTAGGCTCCGGCAGCAGGTGCTGGAGCATCCTCAGCCCACTCCCAGTCAATTGCGTAGCGGTATCTTCCAGCCAGGCATTCAGCGCCAACGCCCTTCCCACACGATCCTCCTCCTCAAGACTCAACACCGCAGGGGGGTGGTTCTCGTGCATGCTGTTATAGCTGTGGTTCTGGCCCAACACTTGGCCGTGGCTCATCTCGTCGGCCGCAAACACGTACTCGGCCGCCGCCTGGTACGACCCACCACACAAGCGCAGTGTCTCGGCCACCACGGGCAGCGCTGAACCTTCAGCCACCCACCCGTGCACGAGCACAACCCCAAAGGCTCTGAACACCGCAGTGGCCCCAGAAGGCTCGGCGAAATCATAAATATTGGCAAACCGCAGCTCAACATCCAACCCACGACTCATACTCGGTAATAGCCCAAGCACCAAAGAAACCGTTTCTTCCGAAACACCATCCTGTGCCAAAAGGAAATTGCCCAGCAATGAGGCCAAAGCATCGGCAGTTATTTCTGCTACAGAGCCATTGGTGGTGGTGGCGGTGGGGATTTGTAGCTTGTTTTGTAGAATCAGTACGTTGGTCAGAGCAATTAGTGGACAGGGCCCGTTTTGGTTCTGAGTCAGTATTTGCTTGTCCAGAGTGTGCCCGGTCCAGGGGTCACGCCACCGGATGTGTTTGAGTACGTAGGACTGCTGTGTTTGTGCGTTGTGGTCTTCTTTCTTTCTCTTTGCGTCTTCTGCTGCATCTTCTGCCTCTGCGCCTTCTGCCTCTGCGCCTTCTGCCTTTGCGCCTTCTGCCTTTGCGCCTTCTGCCTTTGCGTCTTCTGCTTCTGCTTCTAGCTCTACCTCTGCGTCTTCTGCTTCTGCTTCTAGCTCTACCTCTGCGTCTTCTGCTTCTGCTTCTGCTTCTGCTTTTGCTTTTAGGTCCGCTTCTTCTTTGGTGCCCGGTGGTGGTGATATGCTAGCTAGAGGCTCGATGCGCGTCGTTGCGATGACCGTATCGATACTATCCGGCGCAGCCTTCTCATTTGGCGCCGGTGCTGGAGCCGAATTGAGCTCAGCCATGGTTCCTGTGTGTGTGTGTGTGTGTTTAAGAGAGAACAGCAGGCCAACAAAACAAATAAACAAATAAACAATATTGCAAAATAAAATAAAAAATAAAAATAAAGAGGGAGAAAGGGAGGGAGTGAAAAAGGAGGGAGGGAAATAAGGGAAATAAGTGAAACGTAAGCAAAGCTATACCCCCCATCCATCTCACCTCTATTGGTTAATCACTTGATTTCTTCACTTGAACAGATCCCAAATGCTCTCAGCGTCCTTGTACTCATTGTCAATCACGTTAACGAGCCAGCACTCCTCTCGAGTCCTGGCCAAGAACCTTTCCTCCTCGCTCCCCTTCACGAACACCTCCGCCCACTCCCTCCACGTATCAAAGGCCTCCTTCCTCCAAGCCAAAAAGTTCATCTTGTCAATCAGCGTCGGCTCCACCACAGCCCTCCCAGGGAAAACCCCCCAAGTGACCGCCGTCACCGCCTCCCCAACCCCCTCTCCCGTCGCCGCATTGGTGACAAAATCGCCCTTGTCGTTGGCTGCA